AATTTATACGATAAAACTTTATACATACAGTTTATACATACAATGTACGATCATTATTACTCAGTGGTCGGTGGCAAGCGGACGATGTTTCTGAAGCCAGCCATAGCCAGAGCGAGCGAGCGAGCGAACAAAAGCCGAAACGCGAGCGATCGGAAAAAAAAGCGGTCGATTTCCGGTCGGAAAGCAGCGAGCGGTCGGAAATTAAGCGATCGGAAAAAAAAGCGATAAAAAGCGGGAGGTTGGGCGGAATGAGTACTGTAAATCCAGTCCCTGTTTCAGATTGCGTCTGACAGGGACTAGTGAGGTATGTAACCATCAGACTTGTACAACTTTGTACCACAAGGATTGAACCTGTCAGAATGGTACCCTCTTAATACATACCTTTTTCCATCTGGACTGAATACTACACTATTGATTGGTCCAAAATGACCTTTAACCCTGCCAAATTCTTCTTCAAATACAAGATGAAAGAATCTGGCATCAAATTTCCCTATTCTTGTTGATGTTGTTGTCACATCCATCGCTTCCTGTCCACCACCTAACACAACCTGCAAAACAAACAGTAACTTCAGGGTAAAAGTTGTTACAATACAGGCTTAAATGATGCCAAGGTAAATCAAAACATTGAATTTAGTAAATATATCTATCTGCTACATTAAACTGAAAAGTATTTTGTTATCTTTTCCCATTTTGCAAAGTGGGTATTGATAACTGGATAAGCAACAAGGTATCACCTACCATAGTTTATTTCACCCTTAGCAAAAATTGCCTATTCTGACAATATCTCTTGCCACACTGTTTAGTACTTACATGGTCTCTAATTGGTGAAATTGATGCTGAATTAACAGGACGCTCTGTCTTGTATGTTTTCAGATGTTTAAAACTTTGTGTATCAAAAAGCTGCAATGATAACCAAATATGGAAACAGTAAATTTACACATACATGTTTGCAATGCACTCCGTACAATACATTACTTCTGTTTAAACTAACAATAGGTTTGGTGTATGCATGATGTATTATGCTGCAACCAACTACTATATCATCAGGTCAAACCCACACAACTTCTCCTTCATTTCCATATTCACAATTAATGCTATTCAGATATGTTGTATGGTTTGTACATTGTTTACCTTAGCTGTAGTATCTTTAGATGCAGTTGCAATCATAGTGAGGTCTTTATATGGCTGAATATCATTGATTTGTTTAGCATGTTCCCTCACACACACAAGCTGCTCACCATTCTGAAATGACAAATGATAATAACAATAGTGGTGTCTGATGTGCAATAATGTCAACATACTTGGTCCAGAAGGTAATTGGAATGTCTGGTATGTCATAATGTCAACATACTTGGTCCAGAAAGTAATTGGAATGTCTGGTATGTCATAATGTCAACATACTTGGTCCAGAAAGTAATTGGGATGTCTGGTGTGACATAATGTTGACATATTTGTTACAGAAAGTAATTGGGATGTCTGGTATGTCATGTCAACATACTTGGTCCAGAAAGTAATTGGGATGTCTGGTATGTCATAATGTCAACATACTTGGTCCAGAAAGTAATTGGAATGTCTGGTATGCCATAATGTCAACATACTTGGTCCAGAAAGTAATACGGATGTCTGGTATGCCATAATGTCAACATACTTGGTCCAGAAAGTAATACGGATGTCTGGTATGTCATAATGTCAACATACTTGGTCCAGAAAGTAATTGGAATGTCTGGTATGCCATAATGTCAACATACTTGGTCCAGAAAGTAATTAGGATGTCTGGTATGCCATGTCAACATACTTGGTTCAGAAAGTAATATGGATGTCCGGTATGCCATAATGTCAACATACTTGGTCCAGAAAGTAATTAGGATGTCTGGTATGCCATAATGTCAACATACTTGGTCCAGAAAGTAATACGGATGTCTGGTATGCTAAAATGTCAACATACTTGATCCAGAAAGTAATTAGGATGTCTGGTGTGACACAATGTCAACATTTTGTGTTACAGAAAGTAATTGGGATGTCTGGTATGTAATATTGTCAACGTACTTGGTCCAGAAGGTAATCAGGATGGTATGCTGTGATGTCTAGAAAGTAATTGGAATATCTGGTGTGCAGGCAAATTATGTAATTACATTATTTCTATATGCCATATTAGTATTTATAAGAATTATAAGATTAGGGTATGCAAGTTCATGACATATGCAATGAAGAACAGAAACGTGTTTACTTAGTCACAGGAAATGCGTTATGGTAGCAAAATTGCAAGAGAACCTACATTTCTATAGATCCTTATTAAAACAATTAGTTTGTCTGAGAAAACTGATTTGTGTTCATCTCTAGCCATGTCTATTTTGGTAGTGCTACATGTAATTTGCAAATTGTGTGATACTAAATACATATGCAGCGATAATCTTGTTCAATTTTGTTTATGCAATTGAACATTTCCAAGCATCTACTGCTTTCTGTAACACTATTGGTAAGGGCTACATTTGACACACGAAATAGGGTCACTTTTGAACATTCACAAATCAAGGAGATCATTTCTTCATTACATGTTATTGTACATGATTAGAAAGATTACTACATGTCAAAACTGACTGATATGTTTCATTGAAGTCATTGTTGAAAGATATGCAACTTTCCCATTGAAATTAATTTACAATGTGCATAACCAGCAGCTGTACATTAATCTACAGCTGAGTGTACATTAGTGGATATTCCAATAACTGCAAGATCCTGTGAGATACCCTGACAACAGTGGCCATCCATGTGACACAGGTCAAGCTTTGGTTCAAAATGCATCCTAGCATAACATTGTGTGTTGTTTGTTGTCCTAATTTCAACGCTTGAAATGAGTTTGTTTTATTGTTCTTTTTACGTTTATATTATGGATGATGTCAACAAACTTAAAGTGCCACGGCGCAAGAGCCTTTTAAGTAAATTTGAATTTCACGCCCCTTGTAATGGATGGTATCAGGTCTAGATCTGACGATGTCAAATCCGTTGCCTTCGATAAAGTGCAGCAAACAAACATACTCGACTGGCTTAGCGCCCATGCTCGGTTGAGCACCCACACCCCACTTTTGAGACATTGCAAAATGCCTTGAATTTGACTGGTCTGTGATCATTTTACATGATATTCTGGGTTTGGATCATTTTCCACTTAATGTGATCTGTGATTTGGAATGTTGCCAACGTTTTGATTTTGCATCTACTCATTATAGTAATTCCACCAGTGTTGACTGGTGTGGTGTAAGTGACAATTTGCTTACTGAATACACCATTTCAACGCACAGGTGTTTGGCTTCAATTGATATTTCTGCCGATGCTCTTGTTTGTAGGGACACTGATTGTAAGAACACCACACATTTAAATACCATTGATAATTTATAGAATGATATCA